AAAAGCAGTCTGAGATTTCCATTTTTTTCACAAACTAGGTTAACTTTCTGCCTATCCCTTGAATGGTTTGAACTATATCATTTTGAACTCTTATTTAAACTTAGATGTGTCAAACTTGTTAGTCTGTTACAAGCATTCATGATTTGTGCGAAATCGGCGACCATTTAATCCATGGTAATCTTTATCATGATCATTCGAAGTGCTACGAAATTCAACTGGAATCAACTTTCCCAAGATAGATTAAAGAGAACAATAATGGTATTCACAAAAATCACATGATCAATAGTTAAACATAGACTAAAGTACATCCGTTTCAGCGATTGCTGCCATCTCTGAAATGCCCTTTATTGTTGACAGTTCTCCAAATTGAGCGTTGCATTCAAGTACTAATGTCGCTTCCAGAGTTCACGTGTAGTTGCGTATCAAACAAAATTTTATTAGCTTGCTCACTCGTTCACTCACTGACTCTTAACTTGGTGCTGTTAAAACCCGTGAGTTCCAATTTTTAACATATAGCTTTGTCATACTGCATTCTTAATGTAGAACTGAGGACTGTTTTGTAGAATGACATTCTAAACGCCATAAAACCAAGAAAAATGAGTAGTACTTTTATATAAGTTGTAATTTTGGAAACGCAGCGACGTCGGTACAGGTGAAAATAAGTCGGCTTATTTTCACCTGTACTGACATCGCTGTGTTTTCAAAATTACAACTTATATAAAACATATCACATGGCACATCGATCTTTCGATACACTCCGAGCGTTGTTCGGATCTGACAGTTTGAGTAGCACTTTTACTTTGCACACGAATTTTGGCTGACTTAGCGAGATGTTCCTGGCCGGTTAGTTGATTCTCACCTGGTGTCATATTTCACGAGACCAAATGATGCCCAAACGAATCAGTCAGGTAACTGTATTGGGGATTGATGGGATGGGTGACCGATGGATGTCAATAATGAGAAAACAAGTGAAATGATTCCCGGGTGTCAAAACTCGATGAGATAGATTGGATCATTTTTAAAAGATTGTTTGTGTCCCTGTGGCTGGAGCGTAAGCCATTACAGCATTTTTCAATCAAGGAATAAATGTTCGACCTAAATGGGGATTGCTAAGCCGGTCAGTTAGCGGACAAGTGAAAAAAGGGATCAAAACCTTTATTTGTGCTGTATTGGAACCGAAGCAAGGAAACAACGGGTTCATCAATTTTGTAACTTATAGTTCATTACAATACACAGAATATATATATATATATATATTACGACGGAAGTTTCCCCGTTAAGGAATAAAACGAATATTAAACGATACGTGAGAGGTTGTTTTGTTAGTGAGACCAAATATATATCCTTGTCTATATGAATGTCCACCGAACGGATTTAGGTGAGATTTTTTTTAATTTGAGTGATAGGTGGTGCAATAGGGTAGATGGAGGAGTGTGTACAAATAAACCGTTAGTCATCGTTGGCTTGAAACTTGATCTGTTTACCAGCTGATCAAAACAAATTGGTGAAAATAGACTAAATGATTCGATTTCGTTGAATTTTCATTAATTTATTTCTTCCGAAGGGACGAAGCAATGAACGAGAAAGTAGCACTGAGTTGTTGAAAACAGCAACGCCTAATTTTCCCTGTACGGGATTATAATCAACCTGGTTTATGAGTAACTATCATTCCAAAATTTATTTTGTTGCTTAATTGCCGAGTGTTTGCTGATGGCAACTCAGCTGAGGAGTGGGAATAAATTATCGCTTAGTGAGGGATAGAGAGAGAGAGAGCAAGGTTGAGAGTAGCAACTGTTGATCGCGTGCTATTTTCTGAGGTTTGACATTTGCGTGTGTGGGGTGAAAGACTGCGTAAGACAACAAGTTTAATGGAGAAGGACTGCTTCAAAGTAGGTCGTGCCAACATAATGACATTGAATTATTTGTTACCAAAGATGTGAGGAAGGTATCAGTGGTTTATGCTGATGTCCTCTGTTTGCAAGAATGCAACGCTACTAATCAGACAATTTTCATTGACATGTTAAGTTGCAAGAAACTGAATTTGCTATCGATCAAATGGGGTACTACCCCTCTAAGAAGCTTTAGAAAAGTTGCAACGCAATCAATCAAACGCGTAATCTACGAAAGGCCGATGCAATCGTAAAAGTTTTTTTAGTTGGCAATTGTTTCACACACGTTCCCACTCTCGCATAACAGTCCTGAAAGGTTAAAACAACTCAGTCACATTGCATCCCAATTGCATGGGAAAAAACATGAAGCTCATTTTTTTAGCTTCTTCATTTGACCACTTCTGAGTTTGTCATGACAACCAGCATGTCTTATCAGCAAAAGGTTATTCACCCTGTGCGTCCTAGTTTCTATGTGCTCACATTTTTCCGGTCTAGTTGCCATGCCTTCCACAACCGGGACTATTACGTTTACTTTGTTCATTCATCTCTGCGGACCAGATATTCTTTTTACCATTGATCATTGTTTCCCAGCGGTATTAATTGGGGATGGCTATTCTAACGTAATACATATACACATTTTGAGATTGTGCACCTTGCTTAAGTTCATGTTGCAGTGAATTAGGTCACAAAAGATTTGTTGTTGGTTTTCTTCATCTGCTTTGGCAGCCAAGGCCAACTCAAACCGTAGGGCAAGGCAAATTCTTTTACGACGAATTTAGCTCCGTGGCGAAATGAATTTTAGCGGCACTTAGGTCATATTGCATCACAATTTCAGTGACAAAACATCAGATCAACCACAAATTGTTGCATTCTATCAGGTTTATTCAGAATTTGGCGTACTTGAGCCGGATCCAGGAAGTGATTGACGACCGTTGATTATAGTACTGGTGTGCTATTGGACTTTATCGAATCTGTTTGTGGGATACATTGTGCATTCATCTTTCATGAATTTTACAAAACTTCATTATACCTGTTTGGATCGAGCGGTACGAAATGCATTCTGCCTAGACAAAATGTGGCACCGATCTGCAAAAAATAGCTTCGATCCAAATAAAACACGGTAGGACCCGTTGTGCAACCATATCAAAGGTGGGGTGCAGTCCAGATTCTGGAGATTTGTGAAGCATACCACTTTTCAAAGTGAACTCGGATTAGAAATCACTTATTTTCAGACGACTTTGTCTCATGTGGTTTGGATACATCGAATTCATATGGATGGACCTCTAATAACCCAGGGGAATATCACACAACGTTTCGTTTATAGTATCACTCATCATTTCCCCTCGACTGTTTACCGCTAGCTTTTTCACAACCTAACACTACCAGCTGAGCAGAAGGTTTTCAGCTATGGCTCTATTTTAGAATCGAACCAGATTCGCGCATTTCATGGCCCTCTTCAATGTGCAATCATGTTTTACTACAAGTAAGCACACATTCCTGTACATCGAGAGTAATCGCCCGAGATTGCTCATTCAGTGAATTAAGGCTTACTACTTCACGTTCAACCACCTGATTGATTGCATTGCGATCTGTGACTTGAGGACATTTCCGAGAGCGTAAAGCTCCATTGACCGTAGATTTGTATTGGCTTTTGGCTTCCGAGTGAAATAAAGCTTTCGGGTTGGACGCAGCCTCTACCAACCACATCTGATGGACCAATGAATAGCCCTAGCTTATTTTTCAAATGACAAATCCTCGATGAAAAAGGGGAAGCATTTGAATTATAATTTATTTTAGTTCGTGAAAATAAGAAGTTTTAGATCCACGTAAGCTAAGTTTATGATTTGACATTTGCTGAACCGCACCAATGCATAACTGCCATTCGAGTACTTCCGACAAGTGATCTGTAGACGGTGAAGAATATTCTTTGGAATCACCAACGGTTGATAGACCTTAAAACAACAAATATTTGACCCCCACAAGTAGACATTCCTTCCAAACAGATAACCATGAATAAAAAATACAGTGTGAAGATCAGGTTTCTCGGTGGGAACGAAACCAATACTTGTTGTTTTACGCCCTATTTTCTGAGATACCCAACCAACTGGAATAATTCACACCTGATTATCCACCTAAGATACAGTTGTATGTATATGAACACAATACGTAGTATGCAACGTAACTGTTACGGTATGTTTTTCATAGAGTCATTTGGCAACCAACAAATACAATCCAGTGACGAAGTGACGTTTTACTGAAGTCGAGTATAATACGCCACCGCACGATCAGTTCTGTTTTACAGTAGTGAGAGCTTGAATTTACGGGTGGAAGACATCCGTCGTCCAGTGGTTTTCGATAATCGATACTCTCATAGTCTGGCCTAGGTGGAACGGAGCGAGTGGTTTAATAACCTAAAAGTAAGTCGTCGGGTGCTTGGTAATGCACTGAACACGAACTCGCTATCGCACCAAATTCACCTCAATAGGCTCCGTTAGTTAGTACACGTTTTGCGCATGTCTAACGGCTACCTACCACCTTATTCGCCGTGGCTCTTGCAGGCTAGAGAAAGCCACGTGGAGGCCAGCAGATATCGTGGAGACGAGACATGAAGAAATGCACAGAGCGATTAGGTAGAGTAGGTGTCTCTCGTCTTCCGGGTTGGGGTCCAAAACATTACGTAACCGGTTGGTTAGGGACACTGAAGGTTATGACAAAAACCGACAGAAATGTCGATGTTTCTATCACTTCTTATCAGTCCAGAATGCTTGAAACAGTGTGTATGCATAGTTGGACTCCGTATACTGAACATAGAGTTTTGCTTTCTTTTTTCATCTCTCAAAATAAGCCAAATCCCTACCATCCTTACACATTCTCATTTACCTTGTATACGTCATGAGTTTGGCAACGATCAATGAAGTGCGCTTCATTACATTACGTTGTACGATGATGACGATGATGAATCCGGGGTGAGGTGAGATGCTCAAGTTTTGATAGTTTATTAGGGTTGGTGAAGCTTTCATTCTCACTGGTTGCTGAATAGTTAAATTTGAAGTCGTTTAAATTTATAATTAAACACGTTTGTGCCCGGTCCGTTGCAGATTTGTTCTTGACATGGATTTGATGACAAGGCACCATTTGAGTCAAAAGCTGGGAGCCAGCAACAGTATAGGGAGTCTGCCAGATATTCGATTTGTTCCTTCGACTAATTCGACATACCGAAGCGATTACGGGAAACTGCAACGGGAGAAAACGTTTTCCGGATTCACTGAGCGTAATCTTTACCCAGTGCAATCACGTTACTCGTCCACTATTTCCCCTTGGCGACCTGGTACTTATTTCTCCGCCAACCGTGTTCACACATCACATCTAGAAGGTCCTCTGGTCAATTCAACTTTTGAGACGGGTAAATTACACGAACTGGAAGGTTTGCGAGTGCCGGCAATCTACTCTGCGGCACGAAATGCTTTGTATTGTCGATATACCCCAGCCGATTGGATGAGAACGCATGATGAGCGATTGGCTCGTTCAGATGAGGCGCGTCGACGTGCCGAACGCGCGCGGTATGATGCCACGAATTTGGGCATGGAATCTAGNTGATCGGGTGCGTCGGGCCCAGCAAGACGTCAGTAAAAAATTGGGTAAGTTGGAGTAAAGAGGACACAGAACAGTCCCTCTTTTCATCGCTTGACCTATCGGATTGTTCATTATGAAAATCTTATTTTGAAAGTTGATATTTCCACCTTTCGGTTGATTAACGACGAAACTCAATGTGTGTACGGGCGTCAGTTCTGAAAAGACCAAATTTGAGAGCATCTTTAATTTTCATTGTGCCCGGGCAGAGAAAAGAATTCAACCTTATAGTCCTTACAACCCTCTCTATCTGGTCATGTTTGTCAGAGTTGTTAAACAGCTCAGGAACTGACAGCCTCTTAAATTGCTTTCTATTCGGTGACATAAATCAATCCCGATTGTGTCAGCTAAGGTCATCTGGGAAAGCTGAACACTTATTTCGGCACGCTGTCAGCACGCCTATGGTTTGAAACCCAATCAGACAAGAGCTTGTCTGTCATTCCAGAACTATCATGGGCTAGCTGATCCCACCCAAATCCAGTTGAACAAGTTTTAGAAACAGAACTATCTTTCAGTGCAAACACATAATACATTTGTCTTTGAACATAGCCATGGGCAATTACATAAGCTGTTCCATCTCATCCGGGTCCCCGGGTGGAAAGCCTTGGATGTGAGTGAAACGATCTGCGAAGCTGACTGTTCGCTCATTCATAAGCGACAGCGATACCTTGCACACGGGGCGGAGCACTTCTAAGCACAATTTAGCTGGTCACCAGCGTCAGCTTCTGACACAGCTATTCGGGCACACGTCCCATGATCTGTCTCTGAAGACCCACCTTCTGAGACGGAAATCCTTAAGGATATCAAAGTCTTGGGAAGTCACAAAGCGCCGGGCTCCGATGGCCTTCCCTCAGCCCTATTCAAAGATGGCGGAATTAAGCTTGTTAGAGAACTACAAGTTCTTTTCTCTAAAGTTTGGAACACTGGGCAGGTCCCCTCCTCATGCGGGGAATCAATTGTTGTCCCCATCTCCAAAAAGGGCCCGCGCAGTGACTGCGTGAATCATAGGGGTATGAGGCTTATCGTAAAAGCGTCAAAGCTGTTGGCGTCCGTCATTCTCCGCCGATTGTACACTATGTGTGAGGAGCAGACCCGCGAGGAGCAGGCTGGGTTTTGCTCCGGTCGTGCATGCATCGATCAAATCTTCACCCTCTGACAGCTGCTAGAGCACCGTCATGCCTATCAAAGACCAACGATCATTGTATTCTTAAACATCCGCACCGCCTTTGACTCTGTCGATAGAACCACACTATGGGACTTTTTGTTGAAGAATGGAGTACCTGAGAAGTATTTGTCGATCTTCAAAGAGTTATATCGCCATACCTCAGGTTCGGTTAAGGCCTATGACCAACTTTCGCCTTCGTCGTCTCCAATGGAGTTTGGCAAGGTTGCCTTATATCCCCACTCCTTTTCGTAGAGGATGTTCTACGAAATGCTTTGTCCGGTCTAGCAAACGGTGGAGTCGAACTCTTCCCAGGGAACAGAGTCTTTGATTTAGAATATGCCGATGAAACCGCCTTGCTCGGAGACAATACACAGACAGTCCAAGACGCTTTGGACCGCTTGGCGATCGAGGTATCCAGATGCGGTATGTGCTTTGCACCTCTCAAGTGTAAAGTACTTGTTCAAGACTGGCAAGAGCCTTTGCCTGCACTCACCCTCTGTAGTGATCAGCTGGAAGTAGCTGAGAGCTTTAAGTACCTCGGGAGCTTGGTCGCAGTTAGGGAGAAGATCACATTACAAATAGCGAAAGCTAGAGCAGCTTTCGCCAACCTGCGACACCTGTGGTGCCACCATGTTATCCGACTGTCTCCTAATGGAAGGGCGTATATCGACGCGGTTCGTTGCGTTCTACTTTATGGTTGTGCGATCTGGTCATTCGCTTTGAGGATGCTAATCGAATTTCTGTATTCGATCACCGATATCTTTGAAGAATCGCTCGTGTCTAGTAGGAAAATCGGGTGAGCAATGGAGAGGTTCGTCGTCGTGTTGGGTGCGGATAGTCGTTCTCTGTCAGAAGTAATTGCTATACACCGCCTCAACTGGCTTGATCACGTATTGCGTATGCCTGCCCATCGACTGCCTTTCCTTGCTCCCTTTGAACGTGCCGGGCAAGGCTGGAAGAAGCACCGCGGTGATCTGACCATGAAATGACGTGGAAGTATAAACAAGCTGGCTTCAGCTTTGGATTTGGTTGGTGCAGCCTACCTTCCAGGTTGGGGCTCAAGGGATGAGGATTGTCGTTGGTTAGAGACGCTAAGAGATATAGCCCAGAATAGAAATCAGTGGCGCGACTGCTGTACATTCTGCCTGTCGCAATCCTGTGCCCCGTAAAAAACGATAAACTAACACAAAGAAATATCCAAAGTGTACGGTGAAACACAAAACATTTTTTGTTATTCCAGTTATCAACCATTTTCCATTTTAACTGTTTCATCTTCTTTCCACTTTGTTCTGTATCTTATTACGATTGTTGTGGAGGTGGTACCATACTTGCCTACAAGCTGGTGTCAAATATATATATATCAACCTTCATTTCTAATACATCATAGACTTGTCTTTGAGAATAGCCTGGAAAGTGTGGTACCAATGTTTGTGTCCGGCATGTTAGAACCCATTCCGAAAATCCGCGATCGTTCAAGCTCATGCCTGCCAAGCTGTGAGTTCCACACGCTACCCGTGCAATGTCCGCGGAGTAAGGTGAATGCAATTGCAGCCGCGAATGCGAGCGGAGCAATCTTTCCGTAAAATGAAATGCTGAACAAGTAAATAACGTCAAGAGATAAAGTGTTCACCAACTGGCATTTGAATCGATTAGCATTTGTTTCGTTATGCAATAAATCGTTCAAGGGTGAATAAGCTGCGGACGAAAGTAGGTTAATAATAATATGTTAAAAGTTGTTCTAATTTACGACTAAAATAAATGAATATTCCCCTGTGCTAACAGGTGCATCTTCAATGCATGCAGGTGAACAGATTTGATTGTGGTTCACTTTCTCATTTATCTCTCAGCATGCATATTAATTGCTTCTTGTTTCTCTTTTAAATAATTCATATAGGTGAAAGAATCAGCGATATATATTTCATGAAAACGCAACTGGTCGAGGAGACTGATGCATTGGTGAATGAGATGAATCGGTTAATGAGCAGCAAGCGTGTTCTGGAAAAAGCGTATCAGGAAACAGAGAATCCGTTGCACATCACACAAGAATGTCTTTATCATCGCGAGAAACGTCAGTCCACCGATCTGGTTCATGATCATCCAGAAAGGTCACTTCTGACGGTAAGTGATAATAATAATAATAATAATAATAATAATAATTATAAAATGAACATTTTTTCTAGGGGGAGGGTAGTGTGTCATGAATATCGCGAAGTGCTTGATAGTGTTCTATACAGATATCCCAATGAATTTCATGAGTTTGCGATGTCTGACGAAATAACTATTTTGTCATTCATTCACCCTGTATCCAAGCGATTTTACCTTTTTGTGAAAATTGGCAAAACGCATCTTCAGGTCTTAATCAGTGTGATTTGAATAATGTACTCAAAAGACAGGTAGCCGTCCTATGACGAGTAGTACACACAAAATCCGCAATAGCATGGCAATGCTTGAGCTCCAACTGTCTCTTTTTTGACGATAAAATAATTGATTCAATTTGAAGGTAAAGAATCCTTAAAGAAGTACTACTTCTGTGCCAACAACTCCCGGAAGGACCTTCAGATCGTCGTATACAATCACAAATCTTGACAAACTTATTACTAAAGTTTGACAACTACCAATATTTTACAGTTTCATTTCGAGGTTATCAGTAAACTGTATGACTCATCAATACCCTTTACACTCCTTGAATATCTGTTTCTAGTTGGGAAAGAGGGGTTAACTGCAACGGATATTATTCACCGTAAAACTTTAAGGCAAACACTACTGGAGGCAGGCATCCAGATCATTGATCATCCGTGGAATGCTTGCCTTTTAAGAGACATGGTATTCGGTAGAGTGAGTTGCAAGATGTTTGGCTCTTTGATCATAGTAGAAGTTTTCACAGTTAGAGTTCTCTTGTGGGAACTTTCATTATCAGTTTTCGTCAGGTCAAAAGGAAGGTAGTTGTATCGATGGTTTTTTAGGTGGATTAGATTATTTTTTAAATGTTACCGTTGTTTTCAGCGAAATGTTGTAACCACCATCCATCACCTTTAAATTCACAAGCGACATTGATAGAAGTAGCGCAAAATGGAGCATACAGTTAATGGGGCTGATCATCGTCAGCTTCCTTTTTATTGATCATAAATGATGCTGACAGCTCGCATGAAGAGGGCTTTGGTCAATTAACGTTTTGCGTGAGAACACACCGATGTTGGGAAGTTTGAAGGTAGTAGTGACACGCAAACACATATGTAATCATAGGGGTAAATATAACAAAGGCCGGTTAAGATTGCTCACAAATAGCAAATAAATGTCAGAATGAAATTGTAGCAGAACTTCCGTACGATACAACCCGATGAATCCCTACGTAATCTGTATCCCATCTCGAATAAGGGCTATGAAGTCAAACAAAACGAAGCAAATGTATATACAACACTATGAGAGAGAAAGCAAGCATTCAAAGAATGTATTTTGATTTTTGTAAAATGAGGCATATTCGTACAACAACGTTTAATTAATTTTGAAGTAGTGCACCGCCACTACAATTGTTGAGACCAGCAGGATGCACACACCCGTGGACTCAATCAAACAACCTGTGGCAACGTGTGCACGTAGATTATTTGACAATGTCTACATGAAAGATATTATTACCATCAATTTGCGTCTACGTTGCATGAAACACCAACTTAGAATCAACAAGCAGCAAATTGTGTTCAAGTCTTGCCGTTTACGGCTTACCAAAGACGCCGTTCACAGGGAGGAGCTTTCAGTCTATGAGCGCGATTTTCTAGTGCTTCCAGAAAATTGATGGCAACAATCACGCAGAGCCTCCTTACCCTCCATAATCTCTTCGGTTAGCAAAGAGGGCTGTCATCGAAGGACTACAGATCAAATCCCATATAGTTATGTTTGCTTATGGATTCCATGAAACAATACGCGGAAGAGGTGATTTTTTGGTAACCCTTGAGGATACACGTGGGTTTACATTTCCCTGGTGCACGTGTTACAAAACGATACCCAATGCACCGAATGTTGAAAGGTAATTCATCTTTGCATCAGGCAGATAAAAAACAATTTCATTCTGAGATTTCTCCGTGACTGCTAAGCTAGGCTGTGTGAGAGACTGGATAAACTGTGCTTAGGAAAATACCATAAAACCTACAACTAAACAGACCGTTTGCCGATACGTTCAGTAGGCTGGTACACGCCCTTCTGAATAAATCTGCACCATAGATCTAAATAAAACAACAAAGGATAAATATTGTGGATCAGCCAAAGACTTGCTCGAATACAACGAATTGATTGCAGTGATCAAATCTGCACGTTTAGAAAAACCGATTAACTTACCTGTTCCTGATCAGAGAATCCAATTAGATTGTCAAGGGATTATGCACCCAGGTCTGTGGCTTAATTGCAAGTGATCTCTCTGCTTTGTTGATTCTGTCGATTGACCGATCACAATGTTCAAACCGATGATATCGACTGATTATTTTAAAAGCTCTCAGGATAAATTGCGCGCCAAATAGCTTAGCCAACAATTACTTAGGCTCGTTCTACTTTCTTTCCAAGTGAGCTAAGGATCTGAAAATGACCCATTCGATTCGTGGCTGTATACGTAGCAAACATCGGATTGGTACTGATTTAACCTATTATTAGATTCAAACAATACCTTTGCAGCTGGATAACCCATTTCAGTTGTGTAAACAGTGTTGAACACAACCGTTTATCTCTTCTAATCTAGAATGTAGGCCAAATAAAATTGACTTAAACACTTCGAAAATGTGTTCAACGTAAATTTGTCCCATACCTTTCACATGACGATGTGCGTGACCGACTAAGCACACTGTTTCAGAAAGTTTTATGGTTATAGTACAGGAATTTTAATTAAATATTTGGAAAAGATAAGTTAGTTCCACAGACAACTGTTGACCGTCGTCAGTAATACATCGCATTTTCGAAAACCATGCACTAATTCTGCATTATACTAGCCTCAATCGACAACACACTGTTTCGTGCTCGTACAGATATCCGCAAACAATAACAGCGCAGAGGATTTTAGTCATTCGGAGTGGCTAGGCCCCAGTAACAGTTAATTTGCCTACTGAGTCAGTTGAAGAAAAACGATATTTTCTCAGGTGCAAATAAGGTGAAATGGTCAGTTGATCTCATTGTCCAGAAGCTTGTGTGCATCCTTTTCTTGTCAATCGGTTGCATCCACATTTGAACAAGGTTGGTCCAAACCATCTTACTTTTACAAATATAAGATAAACTTGTTTTTTATGAATTCGAGTGGGAAAATTCCTAGTCGCGTGGTTAGTTAAATAACAAGTGAAAAGATTACACAAATTGCGACTTGTTTGATCGCACGATAACTGTGGGAACATTTCTACTCTTAAATGGAACAAAGAGTGATGAACAAGCTCGTTTTCAGTGACCCGTAGACATGCCAACACATCACAATAAATATCAAAATGTTTAAATTTATACTCTACTATAAATAGTATTTTGGGAAAGGGAAAATTAAGATCTCTGTTCGATACCCCATTCGGGTTAATGGATTCGCACTATTGCTGAGACCAGCCAGGTCGAAACACCCATCCAGTGCTCCTCGGCTTTTCAGTTCACAATTCATTTACTCTATACACTACACAACTCTCATATATACATGAAGTGTGCTCTTTGGGAGTGTTTAGACAATTTCTACTTTCTATATTTAGTATGCGGCAAAAGCACGGTAAGACAATAGACGATAGAAGCCAACTGAAGAGTTCCGCTCGTTCTAGGGTTGGAGCTCACAAATTATGAAACGGTAAATTGACTATCTACCAAACTATCCCAAAATCAAATCACTTTTCGCCTAATCTGTTCAATGTAGTGCTTGTAAAAATCGATCTTAACTGCACTCATTAATAAAATTGATTTACTGATGAACGACATGACCGCCAGAGTTAATCCAAGCCAAGCGATCGACATTTGGGGATAGTGGCGTAGTGATTTAGTCGCTATCGCCGGCGGACTTTTAACCCTATGATCCGCGGTTCGAACCCCACCACTGCCACCCAAATTTGGTGATAGATTGCTTTGTTGTCGTCCGATTCAATACCACATCTACCCTACCGGGGCCTTAAGTGGTCGCCACACCAAGTTCCGGGTCCTAAGTTACCTGTTTTCTTCCCTGAGTAGCTGATCTTCGTGACTATGTGGTTCAGGGCGTTTGCTGCTCATCACACAAAAGTAACAAAAAAATGGTATTACACCTGATGTAATCTGAAAATCTCCTCTTTTAAAAATAGGACTATAATTAGGATTACACATTTGATCAACATATATATGGAATTGCAGCTGTAGGGAGTAATTGACAGTACGTCAAAGTTGACAATAAGGTCATCTTGAAAAACCACAGAAGTCGATGGTTCATTTTGTTCCCAATTGTACTCTTATCACGAGTTGTAGTTCGCCAAGTACAATCTTTTTGTATCAAACCGGAATGGAACCGGCTTTTCGGACCCCTTTTTCTGTTTTGTCTTGGGTTGTGTGCTTTTGCATGCGTGCATGTGGTCTGTGATTGGTGGTTGCCATGGTGATCCGGATGTTTGGCACGTAACACACGTAGCCTACGGGTTAATGGACACGCACTTGGTCCGCAGATTACGTGATGCGTAAAACTTCACTTATGTTGTGGCACATATCCGACAACGGTACATGAATTGTTGGTGTACAAAAGATGTAGTTGTGGAACCGAGACTCCAAACGGGCTAAATGCTACCAAAGAGTTCCCAATGATGGAGCGGACAGGACTAAAGAATGGTGACAGGTGGTCAAGGCGTGTGATGTTGTGACAATGATTTCGCACTCGTATGTATGTTCGGATAAGCAACAGCAACGAAAGGTCAAACAGTGCTCCCATTGAACATTGATGGTGAGAAAAAGACCGGTTCAACATCTTTGTATCAGTGGTTACGTCGACTATCTTTGGGTGAATCCCATAAATTCCTGAAATAATTTTTTGAGAGAATCGTAGATGGTGTATACGGATTATTATTCACATTTAATAGGATCAGATAAAAATCTTGGTTCTGAATTGCATTCCCGGTTGGAGTGAGGGCTATCAAAAATAGATTTAGTACAAATACGTG